ATATATGGGGAAGGGGGAACACATGGTCAGAAATCCACCTTAAATTTAATACACATGCGAAAGAAACGGCAAGTTGGCTTTTGGATGACTGAAGACAAGGGCTAAAAAGACGGCACCTTCTCTGTTCCAGGGAGAATAAAGTATTACCGGCGGTAAAGTCATAGTGGGTACTTGACGAGCAAAGACAAGTTGCCTGATCGAACGATACAGGCCGAATAGCTCCAGTGGTAATAAAGGCAACAAAAATTAGGAGGCGATACATTTTGACAGAGAGTTTATCTGCTATCGAATCAAGAATAAGTATCAGTGAAATGAACCCCTCCGCGTTGGGCTGAATCACAAGGAATAAGTAAGAGGGGGGGGGGGCTTCCACCAAACATCATGCCAATACTCTATACCGGGACAAATATACTAAGCACAAAGAATAAGTCTGCCCGACAACAAAGTCGGCCCAACTAAACGCCTTGTCTTCGACACATGGTGCATCTTTCGCGGTGGACGTATCCAAAGCTAATAAACCAGTGACATTTATTTAATTGGATGAGGAACGTGATCCCGTGAACTGCTTTGAAAAGTTTCAATATTTCATTGGAAGTTCATCAGTTACTCAGACAGCACTGAAAAATAACACAGGGTGGAAAACTGCATAACTACGAACATGCAACATGTGAAATAGCTTGAGAACTGTAAACAATTGCTATGCACAAAAACGGATAAATTGGTTCCACTGATCGGCTTAATCAACCACATGAACTAGAGACAATCAGACGTAAGGGATAAAGATCACTTACTGAACAGAATGCCATAGTGGTGGGACCAAGAGACGCCAGGAAGACTAATATGTAGGAACAATTTATACCCATTAGAGACAGTCTCAGCTGAAATCTACCACAATGAACAACCAGAGAATTTCAATAGAGATAGTATATATATAGTCGACCATATTACGTGACGAGCAGGCATCCACAATACAGTGCACATGAACACCACGTTCAACAAGATCCAACGCGGTCGCCTGGACACACACGTGAGCCTCGATCCCGCAAAGTAGGACAGCATCAATCTGTTTGCCAAACTCCATAGCGCTATTCACCTCCTCAGTGCACATGGTGAACGATGTCTTTGGAATGACAGGAATACCGCTGAGATCTCCAAGTTCGGGGACGGTATGGCCTAAACCTAACGGGATAGGATGTAGAAATCGCAGATAAAAACTGACGAAAGATAGCCTTTAGTTGAAAAAGGGAAAATGATAAACGTGCCAATGAAAAAATATACTCCCTTCCTCGCAGTGATGTGACCTTAAGAGTGGTTAATTGTCGAAAATCAACAAAAATAAGCTTCAGTGATGACACAGTGTTGCTTCGAAAGTCGTCGGAAGCAAGCCCGCAAAAGAATGTACTTCTTTCTAGTCCGTTGTATACCCTAAAATCAAGCCGTCTTGTCTGTTCTAGATTTGCAAATCGCTGGAAAAATAACACTGAAATGAATGGTCATCACGCCTACAGTTTCTACCTTATACGTCGCAAAATTAAACTGTTGGAGGCCTCAAGAGGTTTAAAAAGGTTTATTACACACTTTAAACCTATTATAAGTACTTGAAACACATGGAAACGTGCTTGAGTCATGCAAACTAGGGCAAAACGCCAAGGACGGTACGTAGAGCCACACAAAGCTCGGAATCACTCGGAGGGACAGGTGTGCAGCCGTACCGATGTCAAACAATCTTAGATTACCTGAGATGCACCAAGAATAATTAGATATCCATCGATAAGAACTGAGCGTTACCACTTTGTCAAGATTCCGGTAGTTCTTGAAGATCTGTTGCTTGGAAATTGATTTGCAAGTGTTTCGCCATCGATCGAGAAGGTAATTGTAGTGCGCGAGTGATTCACCCAATGCTCTAGAATCTCTAGTGACCGTTTCATCAGTTATGTGCACCTTTGGGCGTGTCACAATGGTGTTGGGTGAGCTGGGTATGATTACTCGGCTCTGCCTATCAGAAAATATGGTGCACAACAGATTACGGTTGTGTGATAAGATCCGCAAATCTGAGGGTAGATATGAGAAAAACCATCTGGGGTCATTTCGTCACACTCGGTTTGTAGGCTTTCTTTAGAGAAAGAGGATGGGAAAGGGTAATCTCATGTGTTGACTGCCGGCGTGGCCACAACCATCGAGTTTATCGGTGGAATTGTAGTAAGAAATTCTACCTCTATTTGCTAGCCAAAGCGAAGTACTTTAAGGCCTATATAACCAATGGAACGCGACCCTTGAGTGAAGGAAAACCCAACTTACCTTTCGGGTACATTTCCGTGACCACGGTCCGCATACCCAAGATTCGAGCAGCTTTAAGCAAGCGACCGGACACCTCAGTGATAGCTTGGAAATGAGCAATATTTGTTCGGAATTTCTCTTGAAGGTCACACACTAACAACGCGGTACGAGAAAGAACTAATTTACCAACTTTCGGAAGCATTGTGAAGCTAAAATAAGGCAAAATAAAGCAAAAATGAACCCAACGTAATAACTTTTCCAGTGTGATCAACATTTAGAACAATGGTGTATGTTACCGTAGCGTGTTGATGCCCAGCGAAATTCGCGCGTGTCTGGAAAAGGGCCCACATCGAATGTCGACTGGATGTCTGTAGTACGACGTCTTATCACACAGAAGCGCTCTTGTTGGTTACTATATAGTCCAAGCAGCTTGAGATGGCTCAGTGGTTAAGGCGTGAACTAAATGACAGTGAGGTCCATGGTTAGAATCCAACTGGTTTATCTCGACTGATCCTTGCTTGGGAAACCTGGACCTATCCCAGCCCTCGTGTGTTCTTTTGTTGGCAACTATGCACCTGAAGGGTGCTGCAGCTGATCCATTCTGTTATTTTATCTGTTATCCAATCAGACTCATGCGGTCGAGTCCAACACTTTTCGCTCAGGAACAAAGATTCTGAAGTCACCTCGCTTAAAAGCACGATTTGCCGCATAAGTGTAGTTGTAACCACGAAATTTCGTGAGAGTAGACAGTAGACAGTTGATGGCCCTTAACATGGTAGACCGCCATAGCATGCCGTCAAACATGGAAAATATCTCCACCAATTAAGATGAGTGATCGTTTAGGAACGTATTACTTTAAAAATGAGTGTTTCACCAGTTGCGTACCATTCGGTGTTCAAATAGTACACAAGGTTGACGCAAACTCGGGGATTGTGTCTATCTGATGAGCGTCGAGGGAAGCGAAACCATTCTTGAGCCATCGGAATGTTTCAAGCAACCTTAGGGTAGTGTGTCCCGTCAAGAAAAGATATCAAGTTGTCAAGACCAACTCATCCAAGTGCTATTCCGAAAGATGCACATCGTATCACCATAATACTGGTGGCTACTCAAAGTGATCTATAGCGAGCGCGTTCGAGCTCTAAATCACCAAATATATACTGTTGATGATTCTCTGACCGGGATACACGACTGTGCCCAATCATCACAATGGGCATTGGGTTAAAAACTTTAACCTGGAAAGAAACGTGGTTTAGCAGAAAGAGGTTAAGCAATCTATATCACGTTCCCAAAAAATTGCTTTATAACGACATTTGGATGTGTGCGGTTTCACAAAGGCATGGGACGAACAGAACATAAGCGCCTTCAAACGAGCCCCCGGAGATGAACGAAGTGAAGGTTTCCTGACTGCAGCTAATGACTGAAAGGACATGCTATCCCTCCGTTCAGCCGTAACACTTTGAGCACATGGCTGCCACCCCACCCAAAGGAAGCGAGAGGACTGAGAACTAACAGGTTGAGATACTACCAGGTTACCTAGGCCTGGACAAGAGCGCTCCAAATGTTGAGGTTGGGTTCGCACCTTAACCACTGAGCCATCTCGAGCTCAAAAAGGTTTTGCTTAGTAAAGACAGGACAATTTAGATGGGGTTGTGAGTCATCCAGGAGAGAAAGCTTCCCCCACAGTGGAGTGAATTCGAGATTCCGAACCCTATTTCAGGAACCGACTGTGGTGCTACCATCCGGATAACGTACTCTAGGAGATACACTGCGAGTCTTGACTTAATATACCAAGACAAAATGCACAAAACTTCGAAATCGCAACTACATCCGCAGAGACACTTCGTACATGGATTCGATGCTGCCGAAATTTTGATACTAAATCCTCAACAGGAAACTCCCAAACAGAAGGCATTTCCGTTGCACAAACTATTTTGGCGTCATGAAATCTTTTCGAGGCCTCCCCCTAGTTAGTTGTGGATCGCAACCCCTGTGCCCGTTCTTGGATTGCCGTTCCACCTACTAGGGTATATCAACAGGCACGACAGAATGAGATAGGCTTTAATCGTCACAGCTGTGCTTATCACAGAACTGCCCACACGGTCGAGCTAGAATCTTTATAATGGTGAGAAAAGCGCTGAAATAAAAGTGCTCGAGACCCTCTGGCCTATATGCCGACCAAAAAGGGTATGCGTTTTCTGGTCCGTAGCAGCTGCTCGCCTCCGGACACTTCAAGTAAACCGCCCAAAGCCGAGAAAGGAACATGAAGTTGTACCCGGAACAATTAACTATTTACTTAAGAACAAAACATCGCAATGAATCTGTCAGACTGATTATTCGACAGTCACGTCAAATAGTTGATAGTACAAACTGATGATACAGTATCATACGACAATGGCGGGCACTCAACCGAGAGCTGACCCGGAGCATTGTCTACATTAAGATGTGAAAGCAACACATACATGTTTGCAATACGGAACGAAGTTAATTACGGTACGAAGCTACGTTCAGTAACTCAACAATGATCTAGTGCCAGCTTACAATGGGGTAAGTCTTTTGAAGTAATGGTAGTGTTTTTTATTTAGTTTTCGTTTTTATTTGAGTTAAGCTAGATGGCTGTAAACGGCTCATTTATGATGCCAGGGGCTGATGACTATAACTTTGGTTCACCACGTTACATTGGTATCAATCAAGAGGTGGCAATGAATCAATCTGCCCCCTCTGAACGAGGACCTTTCCATTGGAAAGATCACTTGTTTTGGTTCCGCGAACCGTACTGTTGAATTAATGACTAAGATACCACAATTTCTAAAAGCACCGCAATATTTTGGTAGCCATGACCCGACTACTCTTCAAAGGATCAGCTTTTTAGGAGATCAAGAAAGATGGAAACTGCTACATAAGTCAGGGAACTTGAACTTCAGGTTTTGTCGTATCGTTAATCACCCGTACTCCTGTTACTGACACACGAGCTGGACTTGCTGAAGAAGGGGGTAATCCCATAGCTAGCAGGTGTGAATTGTGAATTGCACCTTGGGGTATGAGAATGACGGTGGCGAATCTGGTTATTCTGGTCACCACGGCGCTGAGTCGTTCAATGATGGTTTAGTTGTGGAGCGGTCACGTCGGTTGTAATAGGCCAGGTCCTGAGATCAATACACAATGATCACTCATCACCTTTAGAAACATTACCGAGCTAACGTTAGGCTCTTGAGAAAAACGTTTTTGGATATTTTCTGTATCACCAGAATTCGATGAAGCAAGTGCTGCTTCTTGAAGCCACACGCAAAGAACACCGTTACAGGACATCCACGAGTTGCATGGCACAATATTGACACAATTAACAGTTGGTATGAGAGTGAATACACCAGCGGCCTCTCTGAAGTACGCTCTAAGGAGCACCTAGCCTATTTCGATGATGTCCAAAATTGAATTTAGGATTTAGAATAGAATAGGGTCTTACGAGAAAAAGCGACTTCCTCTAGTCACTTTAAAGCAGTCAGGCGCGCTACTTCGGTAAACTGTTCAATCGAGTGCCATGTGAGTGTACATTCTACGAATACCGCAACCACCAAATCTGAAAACAAATGTGTCCAGATTTCAAGTGTCTGTGACGTCACCTGACTCAGAAGTCCTGACAGACGGGCTCATTGATCGACACAACCAACGTATGTTACTGGGTCGTCGTTCGAGGCGTTGAGCTTTCTGCCCACATCACTCGAGTACGTACATGTTCACCTGCTCAGATGAGTCCAGCGTACGCTGGTGGAGTAGTGGTAATACGCTCACCTCGGATGTCAGACGTGCGGAGTTCGAAACCCAGCACGACGAAGAATATGCCCTGCTGATGAGCGAAACTTGGTTCCAATGCTTCTCCCCTTTGGCATGGACTCACCAGATTGCACCAGGACAACAGGACGATTGTTCAAACAAGAGTCATGTGAGTGTGCATGTTAAAAATCCTGCAACCACTAACATGTAAAGATTATCCGAGTGCCAACTTCCTCTCGAGTACGATTTGGACCGCTGGAAATACTAAAACGACGGCCTCAGTAGCCTGGTACCGTAGTTACTTGGGTGTAAAACGATCGCGATCCGTTGCTTCAGCAGTCACCCAGAAAAAAAGGCCTACTAGCAAAGGTACTTTTGGATGAGAAGTTACTTCATGTCTGGCAGTCAAAACATCATACAGTGATTGGTCGTATCTACACAAAAGTGTAAATACTTGTCAATAAGCAGCGTCCAATCTCTGAAAGATCGGTTCGAAGTAACACAGCAGTTAATGCATGAACCGCTGACCAGAGGGCCTAAAATCCAGGTCCATTCACGAAATCCGATTACTAGCTTCCAGGTCGGGAAGATTGATCACCTGAAAGCTTGGGTGCCGATCCTAACGATAAAACTTGGTAAACTAAATCGGAAAAAATAGATATGCTGATTTGATCATGGGATTGCCTGACCTCACCATGCCCTGGCTGCTAACAAGAGTAGTGCGAATGGAATAAGCCACGATTCAGTAACGAGACATGAAGACCACACCATAGAATCTTAGGCGCGTTAGTTCATTCCGGCCACAAAGGTGGGTTGACATAAGTCGACGGGATCCAGGGTTCATGGTAACACGACTGGACTGAGGCAAATCACTAGTAATACAATGACGACGCGACGGGATCCAGGGTTCATGGTAACACGACTGAACTGGACTGAGGCAACTCACTAGTAATACAATACGTAGTACAGTGCGTCCACCTAGTCACGTGATGCGATATTATAACTGATCTAATAAATCACGCTGAATAAAGTTAGAATCTGATAATGAACCATTTTTCCATAAATATGATGTATTTCGACGCCTTAGATTACACTTAAACAACCAGAAACAAATATTGACACCATCCGAATCGACGACATTGATACTCTAATAAAAAATTGAAGTCGGCCCTAATGCTGTAGGTTCAGATCAGACGATGCGCAGTGATAGCTTGAAAAAGTAGTCGATGAGCAGGATAAAGTCGGTGGATCTGATACTCATACTGTAACCTGAAAAGTTTCCACTTCACTCGAGGAACAGACGTTCCGCGTTGCACCTAGCTCCGGCATGGTATAGTTGGATCCTCCATTCGACAGAACATTTGGGTGTGTTAAGTTCCCCGCACCAAACGGCACTGTTGTTCGTAAACCGATTAATTCTACCCTGTCCACCACTGATTTTCATGTGACATTTAGCATCAATCAAACAGGATGGAATAACCAGGTGCTCAAGAGCAAACTAGAATCGACCCGTCTAACAACCTCAATAGCTCCTTTTATTTAGGATTGGAGCGGTCAGATAGACAATTTCCGCGCTTACTTGCTTACTCAGTTCCGTGCATATTCTTATAAACCCCATCGCAAACGTCCGCTACGATTTGGCGCATTCGACTCAGATGACCTGTCTGCTCTCCTTAACATGCTTACTCATCAAGGAGGGAAGCTTGTGAGCATAAGTCCTCTGTTGTCTCAGACTTCAGGACTTGTGAGAACATACGGACAGCTTTCCAAAAGCTTCCGTGCGCAAAGTGGTGTCTGTAAGGGTTGTCTACTCTCCTCATTCTTATTTGATATCGTAATCAATGAGATAGTGAGACGACCGCTGGAAGGTCTTCAAGGTCTGGTGTTCGGATAGCATCTAAGAAAACCTCGTGCGCAAAGTGGTGTCTGTAAGGGTTGTCTACTCTCCTCATTCTTATTTGATATCGTAATCAATGAGATAGTGAGACGACCGCTGGAAGGTCTTCAAGGTCTGGTGTTCGGATAGCATCTGAAGAAAACCTTGTCGATCTGGAATAAGCAGACGACATCGTTCTCGTCTTCGAAAAGCAGAAGGCGCAAGTGTTTTTGGATGAACTGACTAAAGTCATCCCGTCCTTTGGTATGCACTTTGAACCCACAAAGTGTAAGGTCATGCTCCTGGACATGCAGTCACTACACACGCCATTTATAATCCAGGGAGATGATCTCGAAGTTGTGCAGCGTTTTATTTATTTTTTGAAGAGATTTCGTCCTGTAATTGAAGCCAATCTATGCTGAAAAGCCGAGAAGCACTTTACAGCTGTTTCATCCTTATTGGGAATCATCAGCAGTCTCACGAAACTCCGGAGAGTCTCGAACCCGCGACCTTCTGACTAGTAGTTTGAACACTTAACCGTTCGGCCACGAGTGGCTGGTCAGCAGTGTGATTAGCTCGCAATTAGACAAGATATAGCGCTAGAGTAGGAAAGGAATTAGTCGCATGTCAAACGTATCTCGAGGCTTAAGTTCATACCAGACCAGAAGATCGGTACTTCGGGCCGAATATACTTCATACAAATACCAGAATCACAAGGCAGTTTAAAGATTCTGTCTTGACAACCAGGCTGACAGCAGTAGAAGCAAAGCGTACATAATTTCAAGGTTATCGGGAACACTCAGCTAAACTAGCAAGGAGGCAAGTATGTATTCGGCTCTAAGAAAATGGTGGAATTATCTATTTACAAGCAGGTCAATCAAACCAACGCATACCGGTTGTGAGAAGAACGGCAGACTAGTAAAACCATCATAGTTTATTAGAAATAGAGGACAAATTATCAAGAAATCATTTGTACATTTGAATCGGGTGCGAAAAGGCGTAGCAAAGTTCAAACCTGACCAAATTAGGCTTCCATCAGTCGTCTAGTAACTCCAGATAATTTATGGGAACAAGGCCACTGACTTGATCCTCACGCCAGACTTCACAAAATCCATCCTGTAGGACTTTGTAAACTCGGAGCAGTTCGCCTACCTGGGAATTGGAAGAGGGGCACGGTATGAGATAGAAATAACGGAACCGATTTCCACGAACGAACAGCAAATAAGCAGGACTACTGGAAAATCCTTATAGGAACAAAACGCGTATTGATGATTAACGCGGATTGGTACGTGGCGTTTTCCTCAGCGAAAGTGGAGTCGGACTATCGGTCCGGCCTACCATATTTGGCATTTTTCTTGCTCTGTGGTTGCATTAAACGGCTATCGCGAAGACAGAGACAGTATCGTGGTGCGACAGCTTGCGTACTTTAGTAAACAATTAGAGGAAGATGCCCATGCAGCATCTGCGAGGTTGGTCAACAGACTGAGGTTTGACAAACGCAGTTTTCCGACCCTGCAGTTTTGGGGTTGGAATAAGTGTGGCAATTTGTTCCCTAGAATTTGGGCTACTCGAGAACTCTCAAGCCAACCACCGCTGCTTTGCGGTCAGGCTTTTGAGCCAAAGGTTCCGGTTGAGGACCCTAGTTTTCTTTCCGTTTAGGTTTGGACACCTCGATAGTATCTCAGCCCATATACAAACATGAATTTTACAGATAAAAGTGCCGTTGTGCCACATCAGCCGTCGCGTGATGAGATCAGCCGAGTCGTCTTACCAGCTGCGCACAGTAGGGCGGGTAAGCGATCGCCAATGCCTCCCATCTTCACTGGAAAACGGTCAATGACAAGTTACTTATTTATATCTTGGGACAATAATACACGATGAAAGCATAATCAGTTGGAATGATCCCACCAATATGTCAATACATGTAGAGACAGACAACCTTTAACCAGGCGGTCCGGCTGGAATGTGATGGGCCGAAACGCCATTGGTATCGGTGATGTAAAATGTTCACCAGGGTTTCCAACCAAGTGCAGGAAAAATCACCTAGACCCAAAACAGAAGGGGGCCAAAATCACACAGTACCCAGTGGGCTCGGGGTGCCCTTAATTTTTCGCAGCCATGATAGGTACTGCTCTCCTCGGATATCTCACCAGTGTGTTCGGAATGAAAAACGGCAACTTCTTTGGTAGATAATTTTTAGGCAGGTGTTGTACATCTCTCAGCCACTTTTACTCCGTAGGGCTTATTTACTCTCAGGATAAGCAGTTACTTATGCAGGATTTCGCTGAGAACAGAACAGCGCCAAGTGATTTGCGCCAGACTATGAACGTTTGAGGACACTCAAGATTCTCAGGTCGGTAGGGTCAACTTCCGCTCGTACATACACGACACCTTAGCTTCAGTGGAGTTCGCTTTTTAATAACGAATAAAGAAAGTCAGTGGCACCGGATGGTGCTTAATTTCTATAAAATGAAAAAAGAAAAAGAGGTGAAGTGATCAGTAGCAAAGGCAGCATAGGTGTCTTCCCACTCCAACTGTAGTGCTAATCAAGATTGTAACCACGAAGTGGCTTCCGTGAGTCTTTCAATAGCCCGACTTTGTCATTTTGCTTACCCAACAAAGATTTAAGGGTAAACGACAGGAAAACTTCAGTTAGGTAGTCTGAAAAAAACAGGTTGAGATCCGTTACGTTGGTCGGGTTCCCAGCCACCGGTACTGAGTTTGCGAGCTGCTGCCTTTAATTCAGGTTTCTATGTAAAGCTGTCATCCGAATGAGGTTCAGGCAACAAGTTTCTAGGAACAAGATGATGGCTGGACAGAGGTAGCACGTTTCTGAATAGTCTTAAACAAATAACCACTACATATAGTTCTAGGCAGTCCCATCTAGTATCCAATACTTGTGTATACACCAGAACACAGTGAACTCACTGTTGCTAGAGTAAAATCTAAATTCTTGTCACCTTAACTGACACAACGATGAGTGACAAACAGGCACTTACCGAACAGTCTGTGGTAAAAATTACATCACACTAAAATTGCACTAATAACCGGGATGATCCCGAAAAACCCGGACAAACGTTATATCGAAATATTGCATCGAGTGGTTTGTTTGGATCGATTGACAACCAGAATAGTCTCTCTTCACGCGCCACCCATTTTGGTCGAGAGCGCTACAAACTACCGTGTGTGTAGCTGGCATGTTCCTAAGTCAGCAAATGCTTCTGTATGGCGTCATCGCCAGGCCAAGAACTGCAGATTCATGCACTTTTCGCAAGGAGGAAATAGGGAAGAACCGTATTTACACGGACTCACTTGAAATTTTGCATCACATGTAAACGAACCCCAGCTTGAATTACAAATATATTCGTGATTCATAACTGCCTGAATATTCTGTGGCAAAACTAGTTAAAATAAGTACAGAATGGCTGCAGCTGAATACGGTGACTACTTTTCGATACCATGCATGACACCTGTGCAAATATTCAGCATTTGTTTAGTGGACAGCGATTGTCCGGGTGCCGAGGCACCATCGACTAAGTAACTGGGTCATAGTTTTTTTTCCACTTTTCGAAACCATTATTGCCCGGGATTTCGAAACTGGGGAACAGCAGTTGCGAAAACGACAGTGACTAAAGCCATTGTATTTCCATTGTCGGGCAATTGTCTGACCATCTTTCAAGATTGCCTGTTCAATAAGTCAATCAAAAAAAGATTTGTGGAACAGGCAACTCTCCGGCACGCGAACCAGTGTTTCAGATGTGCTCAAACGACTTTCCATTGTGGATACTTGTGAAGTCAAATCGGTTTCCACCAGTCACCGTTGAAGTAAGTTCACAACTAACAGTGAAAAAGTGAAATGTAGCCACCATCAACGTCGATATGATGATATAGCGACCGAGGTCTTCACCATGATACATTTATGAGCACTTTTACGAATACTGAAATCAACTTCTCCTCCAAATCGATTCAGACAGACCGGTCGTCCGAGCTGATCGGTCCCACTTGTATTTACCCTTGTACATGTGCCTTCCATGCTTTTTCAGATAAATGGCAAAGCGACTGTTCACAAGAATGAGGGAACACATTCCGCCGTGAATAGGTTGAAAAGTATCATGAGTGATCACCAGTGCTACTACAATACACTTGTGAACAATAGTCATAGAGCGAACCCTAAAATGCGTGTAAATTCTCGCACGAGGTAGCTGGCCATCGTTTTAAAACTGACAATCACCATTTGCACAATTTCTCCAACTGCCCCGACCACCTATGTTGATAGTAGACGCCTGGCTGGAAAAGCGAATAACGAAACTCGGCATCCGTCCAGTTCGTTCAGAAAATACCAACGAGGACAATTGTTCAAGTTGCATTCATTTTTACTAATGCGTGAATTAATCGTATGTCCAACCAGTCCGAAGTTTTTTTAGATCTACAGATGGCTCAAGTGGTTAGAGCGCGAATTTACTGACCGGAGGGTCCCGACCCTCCGAGGTTCGAACCCGACCTCTGGACCTCAACTTCCCCTGTCTAGGTTTGGGCAACCTGGCAGTATCCCAGCCCTCGTACTTCCTTCGGATGGCACGGTAGCTAGGCACCGAAAGTGTTACAGCTGAACGATTGTTATTATTATTTAGATCTACAGAGTCAGCTGATGAAGACCAGGAATCAATCAATTAAACCGGAAACAGTTGTTCTGAAGGAAGCCGTGGACAATATTTCCGATGAAATCCTGAAAGTCATCGTTTTTCGGAAGATCTAGGGCGCCACCTACGACTGATACGTGCAGGCATGGGGTCATATTAAAGGGCGGTAGTGCGTAATATTTAAAATGTCACGTTCCTCAAAAAAGGCAGACAGGAAAGTAGAGAACCATAAAGAAATGCGCTCAACTAACTTGTATCTTCAAGTGACCCTCAAGAAAGGCGCTGGGATTGCGAGCCCTGATAACCTTGCCAGTTTTGGGAAGACTCAGAAACTTTCCTTTGCGACAGTCCGAAACTACACAGGCTTGATCATTTTGCCCACTGAGTCTCGCATGAAGTTCCGGAGAGAACTAAGGGATGTAATAAAGGGGTGAGAAAGTGTAACACTCGCAATGCCTGTAAGCAATAAGGATAGTAATGACTGGGAGATAGTTGCATTGACGGCACTACAATCACAAACACACTGCAAAATCACCGCGATAATCACTGTCATTATCAGAAGCACCGGCTGACTCTAAAATCTGTCCCTTTAAGTAATTTCGTTACCATACAGTTCAACGAATTAGCGTCACAAATATTCCAGCACCTAAGGCCGTAAGTCTACTTTCAACTTTACTAAGAGATGCCGGTTGCGAAAATGTCTTCAAAATGTTTTGTGTGCACAGCAATTTTCTTGACTATACAGTACAGTTTCACTGCGTTTTAGATACCAGCCACGAATCGAGGAATTCAGCCTTACGTGTCCCACATCGGTCGGTGGACTGGGACAACGATGTCGTCAACAGGGTAACAAAAAAGGACTTTTATGGTACCGCGAGCAAAATGAGGGCTTCTCTGAATGATGTAAAATCCGTGTTCAAAATACAGTAGAAACCTTTTCGGAGGTCTTCTGTTGACGGCCACGATTTGTGGTTAGCGTGGCTCTTGGAATGCACGTTGCAAAACCAAGCAACAAATGCTACGGAATCATACATCCCTTTAAGCTCAGTCGTCTTCCACATTACGCCTTGAAATTTCGCAAACATTTCATTGAACAGCACATTTCTCGTTTGCCATGTTGTCCTCCTTTTTCCGAATTTCCTGTCTCTACGTGCCAATTTTCCCGTCCTACCTATCACTTCAGAATTTTTCTCCAGACGTTTATAAGTGATCTGAGATGGCTCAGTGGTTAAGATGCGAACGTACTGGCCCGAAGGTCTATGGTTCGGGCCCAACCACTCCAGCTCGACTGATCGTGTCTAAACTTGGGGAATCTGGCAGTATCTAAGCCTTCGTGTTTCATTCGTGTGCTATGGCAGCCAGGTACCGAAGGATGTTACAGCTGAATGATTATTATTTTACGTTATTCGATGTGAAATCGCTTCTCCGTGCACTGGTCAAATAGGTTCTCTACGAAGCTATGATAGCCACATTATTCATCTATCCCCACAAACGATCTGAATATTGACAAGCGTGCTTACAGAGATGTAGGTTTCTGGGAGACGCAGACGCACAAAACATTGGGCTCTCACTGTGGTTAATCATGGTACCAGAGAGCCAGCGGTCACGTGTCGCTACCACTAGCGGTTATGTAACGTTAAACCGATGACCAATGAATCAGCATGTATTCCTCTGTGAAAGAAAATTGGAAAATTGAAAAGAATAATGAAAGGCATGTTCAAACACCTCACCTAGTAATTCGTCACAGCTGTTACAGCAAAGCAACCCACAATGATCGTGATTCTGCGGTGACTGATCACGATCAAACCCGTTGAATTTATGTTATGACCGAGATACATCAATTGCCAACTGTTTGGAGCTACAACTTGGTAAAATTAGTGTCCAGGTCACCCACTTCCCTTTCGCAAGATCGATGAATGGAAGCAAAACTTATATGGGGATAACTTTTAACCCATGCAGAAATTATCGGGTTCCAATACCCACACTAGAGCTTTCACTCCTCTATAATGACTGAACATGATCGACTTCGTCTGCGGTCGCTCTAGTGGACTTTGCGGTGCAACTATGAGTTAGTTGCTGCATATGATAATAATAATCACACCAGGCAATAAAGATACTAAATTGGCGTCTGATCGTTGAGGAAGAAAGGTAAATAACCGGACCCACCTCTTGCACATAATTAACCGGAACCCAGCCGATTTGTCCTGACGATTCAGCTTTGCACAACATCCATTGCCCTTTTTGTCGAATGAAGTACAACCTCTCAGCCCGACTGAAGGAAACTTCTGTGTCATCCTTTATTGAGGAGACAACTAGGTTGAACACAGAGAAAGCATACCTTTGCTTGAAAATTATAAAGTCCCAAGTAAACATCTTTAGGAGCTGGTTGGGTGAGGCGCATCGCTGACTTTGAATTCATGTAGTGTCTGATTAGATCATCCAATGAATCGTACAGCGACTCGCCGAAACGAAACTTTTGACTCATGGGCATGAATGGAATCAAAAACCGTTTTACCCCATCGGATTCCCTTTCAGAATGTTATGGGTAAGTTGCAAAAGACTCACTTAACGGTCAACACGAAACCGGAATGAGTGGTGCTATCGCGCACCAAAAAAGTGCCCACTGGCTGGTCAAGCAGCAGCTCATTGGTCTTTTCGCGACTTAGCTCACCGAAATACCACCTGTGATAGTCAATAAATAGGCAAAGATGATAATTCTCTTCCTTACGGACAATCAGGGATGATCTGATCCGTTGCAGTCATCATATGTTGACAGCGGTCTTCAATGACGACATTAGAAGCTGGGCGAAATAAAGGTAGAGTTCAATAGACAGAGAAGCATTGTGACAGGTGAGTCGGGTGAAAAAAACGCTAGTCACCGAAACAGGACACAAAATGATGGGTTTGATTCAGCCGATCATCCTTTCAAAATACAGCTACCAGATACGTGAAAAATGTCGGAAATAAGACACATCTCAGTTTACCAGGGGTAAGTTAGAAGCTAAAATTTGGCTCGAACCACGGACATTCCTACCTGATTCGTTACTTTAACTCCATATCACTTTGGGCCAGGGAACGAAACGGTTCCCCTCGGCTATAGATGGAAGCTGTATAGCTGAAAATGATCGAATTAACATACACTCCACGACAAAATTATAGGACACCCAGGTTTCCTGCTAACTCTACTACCGATTTATGAATCATCATCTACCGAGACAATNTCTACTACCGATTTATGAATCATCATCTACCGAGACAATTGTTGTCCTCCATACCTCATTCAGAATGGTACAAATCGCGAGACTTGGTAGAAAGATGAGAGATTGCGAAGAGTTTAGGTGTTGTTTGTGGGGTGTGTATCCCGTGCTTTTATTTCTGGACACGCTGTACAGCTTGGTAAGATATCACGGATATCTTCAGGAGAGATTTGAAGATTTTCTGAAGGTGAGGAAGTTCCTCCTGTAAGTTGCAGCTGTCCCAGAGTATACCGCAGCAACTAAAAGATGGTACACACGCTGCTATGTTTTCTTCTCGTCGGCATACGATGTCGTAACAGTAAGGTGGCATTTCGTCACACTTGAGTTTCCCTCTGTTACCACGCATACATATCAAAAGCTGTTACCTTGATGTGGTTATCGAGCCTCGATGCGACAACGATAGCTGTAGCTCTGTTCCTTACGGTTTAGCCGCGCTGTTAAGGTCAAAGTCTAGGGGTGGTATAAGGAACACCAAGCCTTCGTACTGCAAATAATTGTATTACGAAGAGATCTGAGATTGAAGTCGGACTGCTGTATGACGTAAATTTGAAAACAGCAAAGTGTTTCCTCCAGGTGTCAAGCATTCCACATTGATGGAAGTAGTGACGCTATATGACCCCAAAGGAAGGCGGATTAGAAAAAATCGGCCTTAAAACCATACATGCTGATCAACGAAGGATGGACCCTGACCGCAGTCGAAAGACGATGAGATAATACGAAGATCCTAATGCCACCCCACTGGCATCTGCTTTGCTTGGCAG